GATATAGGTTAATAATTGATTTGTGTTGTAAGATGGCAATCTGTCCTCATGGAAAATAACTTCTACAGATAAAGCCAGTGTTGAGATGTAACCGATTTTGTGCCCCACTAGTCAACACAGTAAGTGGTCTAGTGTCGCGCTTCGCTAGTCGGTCACCTCTGGCTTGCGGTTGTGGTTACGATTCCTGGGGTAAGCGTATGTGGCTTGGAGATAGGGGCATCTTCTCAACCCCGTGGGTTTACTGTAGAAAGTGAATTTCTGTATGGAGTCTTAAAAGACGTAGTTTCAATACGGAAAAAGTTAAATGTGTTAATGATAGGCAGCGATTCCTATGGATATTTTTGGCGAATATGTACGGAATATTTTGTCGTCGGTGGGTGGAAAATGGTTAGAATATTGTGTAATGACAAAGTGACTGTCAGGTGGAACCACGTGGCAACTCTTACGAAATAAAATGGTTACAGATAAAAAGTACTCAAACAGAACTCAAGAAAGTGGTCACGGGTGTGTCAGCATCGTCACGTTCACCCTTAGTAGAGGACTGGGCAGTAGATAAGGATCAAAACATTTTGAACGTTATGCTTGCTGTCCATGGATTTGGGGTGTTATGTACTAATAGGATATGAATAGTTTCTACAAGGCGATTAAAATGTCCGATTACCACGAGGTAATCACGTAGATTAAGTAGGCACATGCGGCATATTTTTTATGACTTTTTTATATGTCGATGGTTGAGCGGGAGTTATTTATTTTTTCCCACCAAGGCCAATAAAAGAACTGCACGCGCAACCAGTTTTGGGTACGGACGGTGCCCGAGAAACAACTTATTTTATTTGTGTTGCGTAAAACAATTTCTAAATAGAATCTAAGATTGAAATAAATTAAAGTAGCTAAGTCTCTAACTCAATATCATGGAAAATCTTCGACATCGAAAATACGAATTATTTGTCAATTTAAATCAACATTGATGTTGTGATCTTACCGGGAAAAAATGGGCTTCTGATATCTAATAGTTAAGACAAAATATACACTTTACCATTGGTACACGAATCGTGTACCATAATGCGTTTCAGCGCCATTTGTAACAAGGGGCTCGAAGAACGAGGCTAGACATATTCCACTAGTCATGTAAAACGACGACGCCATATTCTTATCTGGGGAGCATGTGCAATAAATATTATCGGTGTAGACTGGAATAACACGACGCTAGAGAGTTCTGATTGAGACTTCTGGCGTATTTCGCTAAACATAACTAATTTGAAATTCTAGTAAAACAGAACGATTGAATGTAAATCAGTTTATATACATTCATACATTATTATATGCGTTGCGACCCGTTAGTGTCAAATTCTAGGTCCCAAATATACTCTTAAAAAAAAGTAGGGGTTATTGAAATGCAAATACCTATGCAGGTTGCGATATGATAAATAGTCATGGACATTTGACATGCTTTGAGAGTATGTTCACAGATGAAGAACTTATCGCCCCAACAGAACCACTGAGCTGCACATGCGACACGCAATAGCGCCATACACGTGGGAGGGTTTCATTGTCAAATTTGACACTTCAAGGAAGAGTTGATGAAAACTGCCGCGTGCTGGTTTATCTATCCATATTTTCTTTCCTATCGGTTCTTGCATAAGATTTACTGTTTAGCTTATCTTTGCTTTAGTGTGTTACGGTTAATTTGATCGGGGGACGTGTTCGTCGACGTCAACGTCAACTGACAACACGGCAAGAATTGGCCGTGACACTGCAAGAGGATTGGACGTTTGACTAGGAGCATGCCACGGCGAATTGCTGAATGTCTGAGGATTGGTGGAGCAATTACTCATTATTAAGACAAAAATCAAAAACGTCCATTGCGAGTATCTCTTTGCGAGTGAAATGGGGCCGTCAGATAAGCCGCCCATATTAACCGTTTATGTTCATGTGTAGGCAATTGGCCTGTTATTAACATACACTGGTTACCTCTAATAAAAACAGCAGTGCATTTCCGAAGTTTTGTATTGTTTCTGAATATCCCCTACTTTTTTTGAAGAGTATATTAGCGATTTAGCTCCTTTAAAAACAAATTATTCCGTAGTTAATTGTTTTATTTAATTAGGGGATTAAGGAATAAGTCAGACATTAATGAGTACATATCCCGTTGTGTATAAACATTCCTAATATGCATTCCGTCAATGTGACGGCACTGGGTTCTTAGGGGATTAAGACTGTTTTCTACAATTGGCAAAGTCATTTTTACGGGAGGTCTATACTTGCGACTTTGAGTGAAGATGACTCAATTAATTTTATTCGGATTGGTGAGAACTCGCCGTAAAGTGTATATAGAAACCAGTGGCTATAAGTACATAAAATTTGGGTTGTTCAATTGATTTAGCCCTTGATAAAAATCATGGAATCAATCTGGTATTATTAGACTTGAGTGCCGCTTTTGATACCGTCAGTCATGACATCATCTTTAAACGCCTTGAAAATATTGGGATAAAAGGATCAGCCAAAACCTATCTCTATTGGTGTACCACAAGGTTTGGTACTTGGATCTTTGTTGTTCATGATATATGTTCTTCCATTAGGACAGCTAATTAGACGCCATGGTGTGCACAATCACGGTTTCGCAGATGATACTCAAATTTATGACTTCTTTTCGATGAATGAACCTGATAGTTTAAATCATGCCTTGAGAAAATTAGAAAATTGCCTCGAAGAAATTCGTTCATGGGTGGCAGTCAACAGTTTAAAACTTAATGATGAAAAGACATAATTGATTATGATTTGTCTGAAACATCAGTCAATGAAGTTGCCTCCAGATGTGTCGATCGAAATTGGTGATGTGGTAATCGGACGAAATGATAAAGCAAAGAACTTGGGCTATATGTTTGAAAAACACATCTCCAACAGACCTCAAATGAACAGTATCGTAAGCAAATTGGATTCCCAGTTGAGAAATATTTCTTAGATTAGAAAGTGTATGAATAGGGACTGTGCCATCAGTGTAGTTTCTGCACTTGTAACCTCGCATCTATACTACGCTAATTCATTATTAGCTGGAACACCGGACTCGGATTTACACAGACTGCAGGTTGAGCAGCATAATGCCACTCGGATTATATGTGGAGCTCGAAAAAGGGAACATGTCACACCATATATGAAAGATTTTTTAAAATACTGTGCAACACATACAATTTGCTATACGCCGATTCCCATCCAGTCTATCTGAAAGAACTTCACACATATTATTCAAACCAACGATCAGCCGAAATCAGCCGATGACAGAACTCGCATTTCGCTCCCAAAATTTAACAAACGAGTTGGCCAATTCTCATACCCGTGTAATCCAGCCAAACTCTGGAACAATCTTCCTGTAACCACGAGACAATCAAATTCGTATCCTATATTTAAGTGTAACTGAAAACTCATCTTTTCGGACAGTGTTATGATTAGTCTTGTGTTTTTTTGTGAAGCGTTTAGAAACATTTTCATATATAATGTAGCACTATATAAATGAAATGATAATAATAATAATAAAACACCAATTTTACTTTTATTTTAATTGAATACTGTAGCAGTGAGAATCTTCGGTAATAATTAAAGACCGGAACTATGCTTGAACCTATTTATTACATTAAACATCATGTACGGAGAACATAATGTCCCAGCGCATGTCCGACAAGCAGAATAACTGTCCTGGAAACGAGATAAAACCTAGAATGTTATATAAATGTACAAATCGATATTTATAATAAAATGGTATCTTAGGAATTTACTATATACACTTATGTTGCTAATAACAATTAAAGAGGAAAGATTATGTAAAAAAAAAACATTGCAATAAAATAAAACAATAAGATAGTATAATTAAACTCATTAATGTCTCAGCTGACATTAGATTAGTAACTTAACCTCTAATTAAAATGAGGGATTAACAGAAATATAAGAATAATATAAATGTTTAATTGAATGGATGAATAATGAACGAACGGATTATTGAAAGAATGAAATAGAAACAGTTTATAAATTTATCACCATTATAATACCACGAATTTGTACTGAATTACCCATGGATTGTCTTGAGTCACTCTACTTTGTACGACATTTTCGAGCATCGATTATTATTTGGGAATGCAGCTGTAATAGTCTGATTGGATGGTTGGAATTCAGGTCGGCCTTGAGTGGGATTTTGGTTACAAAACCATTGGACAACTTTGGAGTTGCTTAACTGAAGTTACTGTATTCAGGGGCTGAAATAGCAGGAAAACGCGTTTGCGGCAATTTAATTTTGAAAACATTTTCCCGACGATCCCGTCACCGTGAACTATAAACGATTGATTGGTTAATTGAAATTCGAGTCAGCCACGTAAATTCATGTTCCTAAAGCAACGATCGCGAGTTTTACAACATCTAGGCGTTGCAAGGCTGGTCTGCGATTCCCGAACCTATACCTACGTTATCTCCCTTTAACGCAGACATATGAACGAGGTTGTGACACAAACACAATCAAATCAAACATGGCAACCTTGACAATGAACGAACCTTGAACTTTGCAACTCGATTATCACAGGTAGACATGTTAGCTTGAACGCTCGAGACTTGGTACTCACGATCATCGATGAATCTGTTCGGCACCCCATCTGGGTCAGTAGCTAATCGAAATTAGTGCCGAAATATGCAGGGTATTACGTGAAGGGCTTGATAAGATGTACAGAGTTAAAGGGAGACCAAGCCTTCTATTGAGGATGTCTAAAGTTGCTATAATCACGGGCTGGAATAGCAGGAAAACGCGTTTGCAGTCGTCAAATTTACCAACAATTTTTTTTTGGGTTGGTTGGGGGGGGGGGGAGAGCTTAACCCAATTTTTTTTTCGGGCATTATGGGTTCTTCCCGCCCCTCCTTAACAGTCATCGAGTCCGTACGCCTATGAGAGTACTCTCTTGTTAGTGTTCTGTTCTCTTCTATCTTCATTGTCATTAATAATATTCGTTTCCTGTATATTTCAGGTATATCATTGAACTTACGTTGAAATATGAAAGTAGCCTTGATACTATTGTAGAGTTAAATGAGAAAATACGTTCATTGGAAAAAGAAGTACAAGATTGGAGAATAAAGGCCAGATCTCACGAATTAAGTTCATCAATGTACGAGCATGACGTCAACGAATTGAAAGATACAATAGTCCTTCTTCGACGAGAAAGTATAGATTTTAATCAGCATCATAATGATGAACCGATTGTTGATTCTACTGAAAGGTTGGAACTGATCAAAGAGTCGCCAATGAAGGCAAAACTAGGGGTGAAAAAGGGTATAATTCACAAGAGCACCAACGACGTTTCAACACAGAAAAAACTACACAAATCTCAAGTACAGAAAACAAACAAACAACTGAACATAAAACCAAATACAGCAAACAGAGATTCGATTTTAAATCCAAACAAAACTTTGCAGAAATATGGCGCCAATTTTTTAAAACCCGAAGATATAGATGCCTATAAAATTAGACAACGTCCGATTGGTGGAAGTACCGCAATGATTAACATACCGATAGGTGCACCAATGACTCTAAGGAACAAAAACCCCAAAACACTGCCCGCTTTACCCAAAAGGCCGACCTTTTCGAAACCTTCACGTTCGTTTCCGGGTCGTTTTCCAGATGGAACTCCACGATTATCTAGTCTAGTAGGTGAGAAGAAATATAATTACAGGAAAACACCCAAACTGTCATCTACTCAGCCAAGAAGTACAGACACAATCGTAAAAAGTATAACACCTGAAAGAAAACCCAAAACACCATTCAAAAGTCTTCTTAATCGTAGACCCAACACTTAAACAGCCAAAATCTAAAGCATTAGAAACGATGTTTTTTTTATCTGTGAACATCTATATTGCGTCATAAATATGTACAGAATATACGCGAAAGATGACTGAAACAAGCGAACGTTGTATTTTCGCGCCTCAAGTGGCTGTATATATTGCGAAATAAATATGTACAGATATAACTTGAAATGTGATAGTTGGCAGTTAAAGTGGTTATGACAAAAATCATTAGACCTACTATGTGTCAGGAGCGAAAACAAGGGAACTACGGGTCGGGTGAGAATGGGTTGGTTAATAAAATTTAATTGCATACCCCCCCCCCCCCTCATAATTGTATACGGTATTCAGTTGTCACGTTATAAAAAGAACATACTAAATTTAATATCTAAATATCTGACACATATTTTAAAATGTTTTTTGTTTATTACGTGTAAATAATTAATATTAGAAAAGTTACATTTGATATCAAGAATCGTGTCTTGGCAACGTTTACAAAGTAGATTATGACTTTTGAAGTCATAAAGTCTATGGTGTTTACTATTAACAAATTTATGAAATGGATCTGTTAAATTATTGTTCGAAAAGTTTGGTATCACAAAAACGCTTAAAGGATTGTGTACAGAAATGTAAGTTATACGTCAATCCCTGTGTTAATATCGGTCCTACGAATCACCAATAAGAACCGAAAGAGCGTTTTATTGTATATTCTACACATCATATCCGAATTTTGAATTGCACAGATTTGTCAAAATTCAAAATTTCAATTATCAATTATCCATTATTTTTACGATACCATTTTATGTGTTGAATCAATCTGATTAAAACCAGATCTTATTTTTTTTTTTTTTTTTTTTGAATAGTTCAAAATTTCGTTATACACTAGGATCTGGACGAGGGTTAGATCTAAATATTAAGGTCACCTGCAGATTTCGTCAACCCTAACCCTAGACCTAACTATAACCCCAAATTCTCGGCAACAATCACGTGCCCTGTCCTTGTTTACATCTTGTGACTTGACGAAATCTGCGAGTGGCCTTAATATTTAGATTTGACCGCGGAAGAGTTGTTACCCGGTATATAACCCGCGTTCTGGTTGATGTGAGGGATTAGCCAATGAAACGGTCTGTTGCGGTGAGTTCTTCGCGTGCGGTGCACTGAACTGTGGGTATCCCACTAGAAACATCAACGCTGATTGGTTAATCAAATGTCTGACATCATATCTTTCCTTGTCTGTCACTTTTTACGATACTTTGGGCGCCTTTTACAAAAAAAACCCTTGTCGATGATTAGTAGGAGCCGTTAATAGCAATAAGCGGAAAATATATTAAAGGCAACACCAGTCGTGACAATCTTTACTTAGAGTGTGTTTACAAAAGTACACTTAAATACTGATCATTTTGTGTGTAGACGCTTTGAATTTAGTTGCTCTTTATGGTTGAGGGATTTACTGTATCAAGAGAGAGTCTATTGACGCACTCGCCAATCCAAATTTCAGCAAAAGGCCAGAACTATTAATTATTGATTCGATTTTCGATACAACAGGGTCAATCCATTGTACTGTACCTCATTAGGTTGGAAATTGAATTCGATTTCTTGTGCTATATCATTACCACGAAACGAAGATTGATATGGTGCCATCAATAAACATTGTGGCGATTTCTTTATACAATCCTGTATAAATAAGATGAGTGGACGTTAAACCCCATACAGAGCAGTTTACCTATCTGTACTAATTTTCATTCGTGTCCTTAGATTTCAGTCAAGAATGCACTTATCCATCCCCGTACAGAAATGAAATGAAATGAAATGGAGTTTAACGTCCTACTGTTCTGCTCCTAAACTGGGCTAATGAAGACGGGCATACGCCATACAGTGTGCTATGAGGGAAATTTTGCCCGGACAGCGGCACTACGGCCTACTCTTATATCGAATTCCAACTACCAAGGGATCTTTTACGTGCACGCCAATGTGTACACGGGACCTCGGTTTTTCGTCCCATCCGAACGACTAGACAGCTTTCCTTGTCAGCCCCTCCGTCCTGCATCACTGACAAGAGTATGCCATGGGATCGATAACCCATGGGGTTCTGTGTTCGATCCCGGTGTGGTCTGAGAAAATTCTTTGGGATTTTCCAGCCGGGTTTCTCCTTATCAGTGAGGCAGCACAGAGGGCGGGACAAAAGCCGAGGCACACCCGCGTACTTGTGTTGGTGCATATTTAATCTCGACTGTTAAAGAAGCAAGTATCATTCAACCCGGTTCTCTGATTAACGATCGATAAAAGTAATTTTCTCATTTAGCGTAGGCGTATTATTTCGTCGCCCTTTGTTAGTCTGCCCCCCCCCCCCGCCTTTCCGTAAACCATGCGAACGTTTTCAGCCCCCCCCCCAACCTTCAGAATACATTGTGACTGTGATAGTGGCTTTAGTCTTAACTGGATTTTTTTTTCAAACTTGGTGTGAAGTATTAACAATGAGAGGATGAACCTTTTTGATTTTTAATTTGGTGTGTAATATTGGGATATTAGAGGATGAACCCAGTTTATTTTCTATAGCTTATACCTATCCCGTTTCTCTAAACGCTGCAGTGTGGGTGTATTTACACGCTTTTCGTGGCAAACATGTTTTGTTTGTTTGTATAAATCAGTTTTTTAAATAAAATGAAATGAAATGGGGTTTAAATGTCCTACTGTTCTGCTCCGAACTGTGTGCGATGAGGGAAATTTTGCCCGGACAGTGGCAGTACGGCCTACTCTTATATCAAATTCTAACTGTCAATGGATCTTTTACGTGCACGCCAATGTGTACACGGGGCCTCGGTTTTTCGTACCATTTTGCCCGGACAGCGGCACAACGGCCTACTCTTATATCGAATTCCAACTACCAAGGGATCTTTTACGTGCCCTCCGTCCTGCATTACTGACAAGGGGGAATCACGCCAGAAAATTTGGATGAACTTTCTCGGCCAATGCAGGGATCGAACACCCGACCTCCAGGCTAGCGAGCCAGCGTCTTACCCACTTAGCAACCGCGTCTCCCATTTTTTTTTTATAAATATGTAGGGCTAATTCCCCCAAAACGTTAATGGGTGCTTTTGAACCTATTCCACCAAGGAAATCAAACTACACAACTTCATGATCTCCCGTATTTGTTTTTACACGATACCAGTTTGATGCCTGCAGATTTATATGCGTGTGTCAGCGTTAACGACTTTAAAATCATTTTGTTAGTAAAACTTATTCTCTTACTTCCCAGAATTTATTAATGCTACACCACCAGTATTGACAGGGAGCTGTAATATGGTTTGACATGGGAATCAAATCTTATAATCTGGGTATAAATCTTATATATAATGGTGTATAAAAATGAGAACCGTTAGTTCTAAGCTAAACACAACAAATCCTCATTACTCGACTTTTTACGTCAACGACAACCATTGGGATCCATACAATACATTCATTATATTTTCTGGAAACGCCATTCTAGAGAAAACTTGGTTGAGAAAGGTGGTTATATCTTACCACACATCAGTTGATGTATGAGACATTCTCTGTTACTGATGACAAAATCGGACAATTTCTACAGAAGCGGCGTGTGGCGTAATGAGTGATATATCAGTCCCAGCAACACCTAGGATCCAAATTATCACAAAAAATCTACTTAAACAGCATATTCATACAGCACGCACAATCTATAATGTCAAAGTGAATAAAGAAGCAATTCTATAAAAATGAGCTAGAGATATCGAGCTTTCTTTGGCTTTCAGTGATTCTTAATTCGCGCAGAGTGGGAAACTATGGAAGGATAACGTTGCTAATATTATTTCAATGTCCATGGTGTAAATTGCATATGTCAACAGTTCAAAATACGTATTTTAGTTTTACAATTTGCAATTTCCATTGTTCCACAATACCAGAGTTAAAATACAGAATACACTATTCAATAATACAAAATACAGTATAATAGTTATTTTGCACATTACACTTATCCATTCTGCCTTTTGCATAATAGTCTAATGCATAATAGAACTTAGCATATTAGAACATATACCTTATATGGGATCTGCGACAAAGCTCATTTGCATACGGAAAAAAGTCCGGACTAAGATGGAGATTAATAATTTACAGACCTTGGAAATCAATCAATGAAATGAAATGGGGGTTAACGTCCTACTGTTATGCCCCGACTAGGCTAATGGAAACGGGCATACCCCGTGCAGTGTGCTATGGGTGAAAATTTACTCTTGTATCAACTGCCAGGGGATCTTTTACATGCACGCTAATGGTGTTTAACGTCCATTCGACTCAAGCTAGGTCATTCCGGTACTAACATGTGGTTCAATTTGATTTCAATAATGCACTTAGCCCAAATATATCATCAAATCACACAGTTTATACGCTGGGAAAGTATCTTTAAGGAGAGCATGAAATCAATGTATTATGAATAAATGATATCAATGTGGGTATGAAGTTGGCGGGACTATGAAGTTAATGAGAGAATGAACTTAATGAATGGTTTTGAATAAGGGCACGAAATAACTAATGCTATTAATGGGAGCATGACCTGAATGTGCCGATCCCGTGACCTAAAAAAGTACTTTGTTGGCCTAGCTATCCGATAAATAAGTGTAGGGCGACCTTGAAATAAACTAGTTAGAAAACTTTTTTTCATGTAATTGACCCTAACGTACTTCCCCGTATCTTGTAATTATAATGTGCCGATCCCGTGACCTAAAAAAGTACTTTGTTGGCCTAGCTATCCGATAAATAAGTGTAGGGCGACCTTGAAATAGAGAGAGAGAGAGAGAGAGAGAGAGAGAGAGAAATGGGGTTTAACGTCCACTCGACACAAACTAGGTCATTTCGGGACTGACATATGGTTTAATTTTATTTCAATAATTCGCTTGCGCGTAGGGGTCTTTAGCAGTCGGAGGAAACCGGAGGACCCGGAGAAAACCCACGAGGTTGGACAGGCGACCCTACTCCTTGTCACGTACAACCGGGGATTCGAATCCACGTCAGTCGACTCAATGACAGACTTTATGATACAGCGCGCGCACGCTAACCATTCAGCCATCCAACCCCCCCGACCTTGAAATAAACTAGTTAGAAAACTTTTTTTTCACGTAATTGACCCTAACGTACTTCCCCGTACCTTGTAATTACAAGATATTTACAAGAAAACTATCTTGTAATTACAAGATAGATATCTTGTAATTACAAGATAGCCTAATATAGCCTATCTTGTAATTACAAGATAATTTTCTTGTAACTATCTTGTAGCTATATAGGCTATCTTGTAGTTACAAGATAGTTATCTTGTAGTTACAAGATA